TGGACTGACATTGGGGTCCCACGTAACTGTTGTGGCAAAGCCGTTGGCGGCGCACGCAGAGTTCGACCCGAAGATATCTTTGGCGAAGGATGATGATGAACCGGTGGTGGTATCACAGTTCATGATGGAGTTGCAGGGTTTGAAAACGGTGGACGGCGAGGAGCCCCCAAGGGTTTTGCATTTTAATCCCAGATTAAAAGGAGATTGGAGTGGGAAACCTGTGATTGAGCTCAACACCTGTTATCGAATGCAGTGGGGTTCGGCGCTTCGATGTGATGGTTGGAAATCAAAGGCCGATGAAGAGACCGGTAAGTGTGAACAGTGAAGCTATCATATGATAGTAATAGATCGTAAAAGCTTTGATCTTTTTTGGTTTGAATGATACCTGTTGGTGGTTTACTGTTTCTGACATGGCTTTCATAGTCGCATGCTCGCAGCATATTTACGGTGCAACAAGAGTTTTAACTGCGACCGCCTTCTTTCATTTGGATGATTTATGTACAAGATAGATATTCATATTACTTTCTTTTCGTATATCGTGTGAGAGGTAGAATTGCACAATCATGCCTAAGTTGGAACCCAGAATTGGGAGGGTGAATGCCTGGGCTGCTGGTTTCAGTAAGGGAAATAATGTTATGACGCGGATGATATGGTGGGAAGTAGGACCCTTAAATATCCTGGTGCTGAGCTCATCACAGACTTGAACTTTCGCCTCTTATCTTTGTAGCGGCATACATATAGGCTTATATTCTCTGCATTTTATTTGTTTAATGTGCCGTTGTATTTTTTGCCCCTTCTGTTGAGTTTTTTTCCCATGAACTCTCCGGTCATTCCTTCGCAGTTGAATCAATTTGAGTTATTCCTTTTATGGATTGTAGTTGATGGGCTGGTGAAGTGTGAGAAGTGGATTAGGGATGATGACAATCACGCAGAGGAGTCCAAGGCTAGATGGTGGTTGAGTAGACTGATTGGTCGGACCAAGAAAGTTTCAGTTGACTGGCCATTCCCATTTTCTGAGAGCAAACTATTTGTTCTCACTCTTAGTGCTGGATTGGAGGGTTATCATATTAATGTTGATGGGAGGCATGTGGCATCTTTCCCCTATCGCACTGTGAGTAATATGCTTGGGCTTATCTACATGCATATGAATTTGTATGATTTTTTAATATTACCATTTAATCTTGTCAGGGTTTTACTCTTGAGGATGCCACTGGGCTTTCTTTGAGTGGGGACATTGAAGTCCACTCTGTATTTGCTGCCTCTTTGCCTTCAACCCATCCAAGTTTTGCTCCACAGAAGCATCTTGATTGGTCAAGTAGATGGCGGGCCCCTCCTCTTCCTAATTTTGATGTTGAAATGTTCATCGGCATCCTTTCTGCTGGAAATCACTTTGCTGAGAGGATGGCCGTAAGGAAGTCATGGATGCAGCATAGGCTCATCAAGTCTTCAAAAGTGGTGGCCCGTTTCTTTGTAGCACCGGTAATGGTGGCATGTTGAGAACCTTTCATTTGTCTGATACATTTTAGTTTCTTGTGTCAATTTTGGGTTCTTAACATTCTGATCAACACTTTACAGCATCCCAGAAAAGAAGTAAATGCAGAGTTAAAGAAGGAAGCAGAGTATTTTGGTGACATTGTTGTAGTGCCCTACATGGATAACTATGACCTTGTTGTGCTGAAAACAGTGGCCATTTGTGAATATGGGGTGAGTTGTTAATTGATTGAAATTACAAGTTTGGAATCACAAGAATTCTTCAGCGCTTATAGCCTGTGCTCTGTTGTCTATAGGTTCGCACAGTTTCTGCCAAGTATATCATGAAGGGTGATGATGACACTTTTGTAAAAGTGGACGCTGTATTGAATTTAGCAAGGAGCTTTCCAGGTGACAAGAGCTTCTATATTGGAAACATAAACTACTACCACAAGCCCTTGCGCTATGGTAAATGGGCCGTGACGTACGAGGTATTTAGAACTTGTTCCATGTTGTTCTTTCAAGAGTTGAGAATAGGAGTTTTCTGGGGAGGATATCATATCATGAACTTGATTGATAATGGCGTGCCATTAACAAGAGCTTATTTTCTAAAAAAATAAAAAATTCTCTCATTGAGTTTTATCTGCAACTTTTTACCTATTTCCCCTTAACCCCTCGATTATTAGCTTCTTGTTTCTAGTTATATTTTTGGTGGGACAGTGGGACTTAAATAGTGGTACCTTCTTGCATTCTTTGTCCAGGAATGGCCTGAAGAGGATTACCCACCCTATGCAAATGGACCTGGTTATATTTTGTCCTCTGATATTGCGCGGTTCGTTGTGTCTGAATTTGAAAGGCATAAATTAAGGGTTAGTAAACTGTGCCCGGCCACCTGATATAATCAATGGTCTGCATTTTGAAGTTAATGTTTTTCTCTTATTGACGCATCCGTGGTCCCTTCGCAATGCAGTTATTTAAAATGGAAGACGTAAGTATGGGAATGTGGGTAGAGCAATTCAACAAGACGAGACCAGTGGAGTATTTGCACAGCTTGAAGTTCTGCCAGTTCGGTTGCATAGAAGAGTATTACACAGCTCATTATCAATCGCCACGGCAGATGATGTGCATGTGGGATAAATTACAGAGACAGGCAACCCCTCAGTGCTGCAACATGAGATGACGATTGAGAAAACAGAGTGGCCATATTTGAATTCAGAGAAAAGCAAGTTTTGCAGTTATAGCCATCGAACATTGTATATACTGTGGAGCTTGGATAGAGAAAGGTTTTGCCCCTTGTATAAATATAGCCCCTTCCTTTCGAATTCAGTCTTGTTGGCCCATCATTCATTCATTCTTTCCTTTGGTTTTACGTTGAGGGGTTCATTTTTATGGGATCGTTATCAAACTTCAACCCCTGTAAAGCACTTGATCTTTGACGGGACGAGCCTTAAGCCCAAGTCCAATTGCCTCTCCACTCATCACTGTGGATGTGGATTGGATGATTATGTGCCAGTCACTCTCTTTCGAAACCTCAGTCAAAGCGGTTTGACATTTAAATTTACTTTGTTAACAATGATAAATCATTTTGATTTATGACTGCACTAACTTGGGTAGCCCACTTCCCTAACATTCTCACTTTTAAGTTTTAACCAAACTCTCTTCTTGCTCGCCGCTCCCTTTGTCAGCAACGCTTTCATTTTTGTTTGCTTTTTCCTCTAGCATATGATATATGTGCCGTTTGTAATAGTTTGTAATCAGCTTACAAGTAGTTTTTTAATAGTAATTTACAGAACCAACAGGGGTCAGATCTAGTAGAAAGGGTTAGTTCTTCAAAACGTGGCGAACTAAGGTTCGAATCCTTGCTAGGCAAGGTACTTACATTTAGTGCCCGATAGTATCTTGAATAGGATTGTCTCCGATAAGAGGATACCTATGCTTTAGCAAAAAAAAAATGATTTACGGAATACGAGACAAGTATGTAAGAAAAGTTTTGTAAATAAACTTATAGGGAATTTTTCTCGCTTTGCCAAACGGGGCCATAATGCTGTTACTGGTTAATTCTAATTGAGAGACGCGTCAGGTTTCAATTAAATTAAATTCTTTCATAGCATTTGTTAAATATGGTTTGCGCCTCTTGGTGATCCTCAATGAAGATGATTATTGGGAGGGACATGCCAACTCTAGAACATGAAAATGATTTGTTTTTGAGTTTGGCTGAAACCATGATTAAGAACAAAGCCACAGCAACAAGTTTCTTCCATTTTTGCTCACTCCTTGAGAAAAAGTCGTTGCAGGCATTATCAAAGTTAGCTCTACCATGATTGCTACTGCTACTTCTAGTACCTGAAACAACTTTAGAAAAGCAATCACACCCATTCAAAAATAGCAGCAAACGATCACATGGGCCTCAGATTTTGTTGTTATTTATCAACATTTGAACATGTCCCCGCATCTTTCATGAGAACATCAGATTCTGATTCTGCTCTCTCTCCAGTCATGTGATTCTGTAACCCCTTGTTTCTTGTCAATATCTTCCTTGTTTTTCACCCACCAAGAATAATGGCATCTGATTCCTTCTTCATCACAAGACTTTATTGAAATCCCTATAATTATTAGAATTATTATTATTAGGTTCTGGCGAATCTCAATCAGGCATTAATTTCATGACTTCACAACTCTTTGGGTCACTATAATTGGCTTCCTTTGGTATGTATTGTCCACATGTAATGCTTTTGTGGCCCATATTAAACTTTTTTTTTTTTTTATAACACCAAGTGGAAGATTATAATAAACCCTTAATAAGATATAGGGAGCGTGAAAGAATTGGGAAAAAAAAAAAAGGCCGCCGTAGCCATTAGATGTGGATTAACATGATCGAATGTGGGTAAGTTGCAAATTGAAAAGAAGAAAATCTGTAGTTCAAATATTTATCTAATGCAAAAAGTATTTCACTTTAGCAACTTGAGTTTAATTTCATAAAATATTTCTTTAAATACACCAAATTAAAGTGAAATATTATATTTTTTAATATTGTTTCAAACAGACGATAATCCAGAACAAAGCCTAGAAATATACTTAACGGCAATAATAAAACACTATTAAAAAAAAGTTTATTTGTTGTAAACTCTAGTCTGAATAAAATAATTAATCGTGCGTGAGTCTAATCGGAAATCATGAATGGGTTTACGCTAGCGTGTTCAATTATTAATGTATGCGTTATTATGCTGCAACTTTCAAGTTGTGGACAATGACCAGTCCAGACATATCAAACAAGACAACGAGAGGCAACCAAATGTCCATGGAAATTAAAAATTAAAGAAGGGAAAGTGAGAATGAGAAGGACCCCATTATATGCCAAGAATCGCCATTATCACCATCTCAGACAGCCAAGTACCAACTTCGTCACAGAGCTTCTCGTCCCATGCGCAAAAAAAAACACTTACCTTCGAGCTTCGTAGGGTCGCTTCTGTCTTTTTGTTGTCTTTTTCTCTCGGATTCAGACCTTTCGCTCTCTCTCCTTTCCTTCCTTCCCCAATAAATAACTCCTAGCGGACAGTGAATCGGTCCATATTCTTAAAGCGTTTTTCTTTCTGTGTGTTGGCCCATCGTCAACATTCATACACGTTAGTGGAACCTTATTTTCTATCTTATAATTGTCCTTTTCGTTTTTAATCAAATCCTCTTGCTTCTTGCTACTTGCTAGTGTTATTTGACTCATTTTGCTTATAAAAATCGGTTCTTTCTCAATCTCAACTCTCATCTTGCCCACCATATCACTATTTTTCCTCTTTTCCCTCTTGTCTCTGTTTGGATAATCCAAACCTCAGATTGAGAAACCCGAAACAACAAATCAACGATGGTGCCACTCAGGATGACAGAGATGTGGGCGACAATGGGGTCGACCATAGCTAGCTTCATGTTTGTGTGGGCGATCATACGGCAGTACTGTCCGTACGAGGTTCGTCGTTTCTTCGAGAAGTACACACACAGGGTCATGGGTTACTTCTACCCTTACATTCGAATCTCCTTCCATGAATTCGTTGGAGATCGGCTCAAACGCAGCGAAGCTTATGCAGCCGTAGAGGCGTATCTCAGCGCCAACACATCAAAAAGCGCAAAACGGCTCAAGGCAGAGATGGGTAGAGACAGTAGCAACCTCGTACTCACCATGGACGAGTACGAGAGGGTGACGGACGAATTTCAGGGCGTCAAAGTTTGGTGGGTCTCGAGCAAGGTTATGTCTCCGACAAGGTCCATGCCTTATTATCAAGAACAGGAGAAGAGGTTATATAAGCTGTCTTTTCATTATAAATACAGAGACACCATCACTGGATCATATCTGGAGCATGTGATGAGAGAAGGGAAGGAGATACGCTTAAGGAATAGGCAGAGGAAGCTATACACGAACAGTCCTGGCTATAAATGGCCAAGTTATAAGCAGACAATGTGGAGTCACATTGTGTTCGAGCACCCTGCTACGTTTGACACAATGGCCATGGAGAAGGAGAAGAAGAAGGAGATCATCGAGGATTTGGTGACATTCAGTAAAAGTAAGGATTTTTACGCCAGAATCGGTAAAGCGTGGAAAAGGGGTTATCTTTTGTATGGTCCTCCTGGTACGGGGAAGTCTACGATGATCGCTGCAATGGCTAATTTGTTGGGATATGATGTGTATGATCTTGAGCTTACCGCGGTGAAGGATAACACAGAGCTGAGGAAGCTTTTGATCGAGACGACCTGTAAGTCTATAATTGTGATCGAGGACATTGATTGCTCTCTTGATCTTACAGGGCAGAGGAAGAAGAAACCAGAGATGGTCTCAGATGATGATGTAGATAAGGCGAATGCAGACATAGGAAAGAAAGAAGCAAAGGAGGATGGCGGCGGCGGCAGCAGCAAAGTGACACTTTCAGGACTTCTGAATTTCATAGATGGGATTTGGTCTGCAAGTGGAGGGGAAAGATTGATTGTGTTCACAACTAATTATGTGGAGAAGCTTGATCCTGCACTTATCAGAAGGGGTCGAATGGACAAGCATATAGAGCTATCCTACTGCAGTTTTGATGGGTTCAAAGTGCTTGCCAAGAACTACTTGAAGATCGAAACGCATCCTATGTTTGACACAATAGAGAAGCTACTAGGGCAGATCAAGATCACCCCAGCTGATGTTGCTGAGAACCTCATGCCAAAATCTCCTACGGACGATGCAGAAAGATGTCTTTCGAGCTTGATTGAAGCGCTTGGGAGGTCAAGAAAGCCGCGGCTACCGCAAAGGTGGAGGAACAGAAACAGCGTATTCTGATTAAGGAAAATGGTGAGATTCCAGATGGGTGTACCAAAGCAATGAATCATTGCCAGCGATAGCGCATATTACTAGATGAGTATTATTGTATAAGAAGATTCTGGCAGTGCATCATGTGAGGCAGATTTGTCATTATATTACTAGATGAGTATTGTATCTTTTTTCAATGTTGAAAACGAATGGTTAGGTTCGAAATGTTAAATGCTCAACTGCACTACAGAGTTCAAGAAAAATAGAACTGGAGGACTTAAAATCATCTAATATCTTTAGAAGTTACAGGGCTAACTGAAGTTATTGTACATTGATTGGATGGGCTAAATAACGCCCAACAAATTCTCATTCATTTTCGTAGAGCCTTTGAATGTGGACATACTAAAAAATGACTACCTAATCTACACATCTCAGTATCACGCTGCTTCTGGCGGCAAATCATTCACCATGGTAGCTGCTGCTGCTCAAGAGTTGCCCGTAGGAAGATATCTGACGGCAACTTCCATCGGGCCTTTTAACAAAATTTATAGTTCTATTATCATACATATTGACTTGATAAGAAACTAAAGTGCCCGCAATCATGAAGAAGGGGAAGCTTGAACATCATTATCCACATCTTTCATTACCGTGTTTGGACCGTCGTCAAAGCCAGAAGTAGGGGCAAGCTCATTCAAATCAAGGAAACGTCTTTTTCCTGTGCCCTCACCTTCCTCTTGGTTAGGACTATCTGATTTTTCAGGAGGTTTTTGTTCTTCTTTCTCTTCCTCCGCAACATAAGCATGGGGCTCATTATCTACTTTTGTTTCCTGATCTTCGCCATCATTGTCATCTGAATCTTCATCTTCCATCACATAATCCCCATTTTCGCTGGGACCTGAGTGATTGTCTGAAGCATTAGACTTCTCAAGTTTCGTAGACTCCGGCTCTGATTCTGACATCTCATATTGACGGTAATTGATACGGTTTCGGGTGGCCCTCTTGCTGCGTCGTAAACCAATATTAATCTCATCTACAGACCTGAGTTTAGTTTCTCTCCTAGTACGACCTGGTAATTGCTTAGATTTCCGAGGCTTGTCGCTGTCTTCACTGATGCTCAAGGAATCTTCATCATCATCATCATCATCTTCTTCTTCAACATTGTCTTCATCCCACTGATATTCATCATCTCCCTCAGAGCTACTAGAATGGTTCCTTCTCTGCTTACGTTTCCTGAGATACTCTTCATCATATACAGCTTCTCCAACAATATCATCATCACTGTCATAGTCTGCCTCGTTATCTGATAATGCTTCAACGAATTCTTTCTCTGAGTACCGCATAGGCCTCTGTCTTCGACGATTGCTGATGTGAAAACAATATTATAAGAATCAGGGCTAAATCATCAAGCATCATCAGTGGTTCTCTTTTTCTTCTCTTCTCTTTCTTTTTGGGGTGTTTTTTTTCTTTTTGGGGTTGGGGGGGGGGGGGTTCAGAATTCTCACCTTCGGTCCAACAATTCAGATTTGTGCTCTTCCTCAGTATCCCCAAAATCAGGCGACTTCGGAGATGGCGTACTAAAACTCAGATGTTCTGAGGTATGTGAAGGACCACTCCGTCTACCATTACTCAAGGTTTCATGCTTTCCTACAATGTCTCTCCTAGATATAGGTTCTGGAGATGGCTGTTTTTGTCTGAAAAGGGAAGAAGCAGATTTTTAAGCAGCGTACGATCAAACCTCTTTTCTTCGAGCGGGAAAATTTACACAAATACAAATACATCAAGAACAGGCAGAGAGAGAAGGTTAAGATGGATTCCATACTTGGTTACTTTGATCGCCTCATTGATGGATCGATCATAATCATCTGCAATGGCATTCATGTAAAGAATGATATTAGTGTACCATCAGCAGATAAACATACTCAGGCAGCAAGATGATTCCCATCCAAGGAAAAAAAGAAGATAGAACCCTGGTCAACTTCAGATGATAATTATATCAGGGTGATAGTAAAACAAGAATGCCAGTGCCAATACATGGAGGTGAATCCTGCATACATAATGAAACACTGAACTAAACTATATTTCGTTCCAGATTGCCTTACCACCAGTCACAATGCGACTAACATGTTTCAATTAACCACAAATTAAGCTGACTGATGAATCTTAATAGTTACTCCCCTTGGTCCTTTTTATATGAGCTTTTTAAACCATCTTACCAAGAATAAAAAAGTTTGTTAAGGGTTGTTTATACTTGTTAAAAGTGTAAGATTTTTTCATGAGGTTCCAAAACTGCCCCTAGTTATTTTATGGATACATGTAACGCTTAGTTATCCCTATTCCCATATATATTTGGAAAAATGGTTATTAATGCTTGAGACAATTTATGCAAGGACTTGTAATTTAGGACCAAGAAAACTGGAGGGAGTGTGAAAGAAAAAGCAATTTGGATGTGCTACAATAAATAGATTAGGATGACTTTGTCAGACAGTAGAAACTCAATATGAAATATTTGTCAGATCAATGACTCATCGTTTAGCCCTTAAACAAATACGCACCATCTACCAGTCAGAACAATATCCCTGTACACCCTGTTTTACCCATGAAGGAAAGCTTATTTGCCCGGCATTGTCCAAGAATAATGTTTTAGGTACGGATCATCGCATTTAGCCTACATCAGAGCCTAGAGGTACACCCACAACAAACTAGCTACAAGAAACGGAGCTTAGATGCCATGGAAGTCTAAAATCTGGTTAGAAAATCAACATGAAATGCATTTTCTAATGTGAGGAGTTTCAACCACCAAGAACATGAAAATGCTGGTTCCAACGATAATAGTTTAAAACTTAGTGCCCTTACCAAATGTGTAAGTAACAGGCTTCCTATCACGAAGTGAACGCCCAGTAGCAAGGCCATCAACCCCTAAGAAATTATCAAGCAGAAGAGCCTGTCTGTGTTGTTTTTTCAGCAACCTCTCCTTCCTCTGAAAAGGGGGGAAACCAGATTCATATCAGTTACTCTAAGAAGTAGCACTAAGATTCTGCAAGGAGAATAGATAAACAAAGAGGAAAGGGTAGAATCCCAAGTTTAAATCTTGGAACGACCTCCTCTTATCATTCTTCCAGAGAAAAATAAAAGACACACCCCCCCCCCCACAAAAAAATTTTAACCAGTAATAGTACCTTGTGAACTTTCTCAATCTCAGGAAGCATGTCTATCTTCAGCTTTTTCCCTAGAGAAGCCTCAGTTCTATTTCTACTTGAGCAAAGCTTCTCCTATACATGAATATGAACAAAGCCAAGTAAGAGTAAACTTACTAAAATGAAAAAGTTGCAATCAATGACGAACGCAGGACAGGTAATTTCCCCCTATTTTCTTCAAAAAGGGTGAATCCTATAACTGGACACAAACAAATATGAATATTGTAAATTTATGATCAAACTATATTAATTACATTGATCAAAGAGAAAACAATGTAAAAGAATTAATCCCGGGTATTGGCTTGGCATGAAGCATGATTGTTGAATAATTATGGCAACGGAGTTTACACTCTTCAGCTCACATTAAGTGCTAATGAAGAATATAGTCTGACTCAATGGTGCTAAAGTAATGAGAATCAACAACACAGCCCCATTCTTACAAGAAAAAGTTTAAGGAACATTTATAATGATGCCTAAATGTTCATATTTAGGGGTTATCACGGAGACTCGATTAATCGGTCATTGGACATGTAAGAACTATGGGTGACTTCTATTCCCATTTTAAGGATTGATAACTGAATTGTCTATTTGGCTCAACATTTCTTAGCCTCTCCCTTGTGCTCTTCCGCTCTAAAATAGTTCTCCTAACATTACATTTCAAACTTTTCTCCACCAAGCAAGCCACCCAACAATTATTAAAACATGCCTCCCTGTCATCAGGCAGCTGAAGTATGAACATGGATCAATTTCAGAAACTTACGGAAACATCTTGAAATTCGTCAAAATTGGTCGCAACAGCTTCCCACTGATATGATGTATTAGAAATAACCTTTGAACCTTTTGCCTTCCCCTTCTTCACTTGAACTACTTCAGTTTTCCTTGTTTCCCGATATAACCTATGACCAATAATTGGGTCATCTTCATACCTGCACTAATCAAATTGCAAATAAATAAACCAACAGTAGGTGTAATTGTAAAAAAACTTTCCACTATATTATTTCAAGATCTTCACAACTCTTACGAGAAATTTCAATTTTGGAAGAAAAAGTATTACCAATAAGAAATTCCATGAGAATCACCCCCAATACGCTCTTTTCGAAATGTTGATAGTTGAACGCCATGTCTGAGTGAGTTGTCAATGTAACTTCGGATATCTTCTTGCTGCAAAATATCACTCAGATTATTAAGCCACTGATACACAAGCAGAAGTAATTGTCAAAGTAGGACCAAGCCAAGCAAATGATAGCATTTAACATAGGGTTGGAGAGGTAGAGAACCAGATCAGATATGAATATCCTCAACTATCTGAAGTTTAAATTTACACAGCCATCCTTCTATCAAACTACACTCATGACTAATTAGGGAAAATTCATTAACACAAGCAACAACCACGCATAACAAATGACGCCATGTAATTTGTGTATTCATAAAGAAAGGACTCTGCAGCATTTTCTTCCAATTAGATTAGATTCAAAACATCAGGTGGAGTGGCCTCATTCTACCATGCTAAAGTCTACCTAGTTAAGATAAAGATACAAAACATGTACATAAAACAATAACAGTACCTCAACTCGAATGTCACATAAAGCTTTTAAGATAGCAACACGGACCCCAGGATCAAGTGATTTATATGCTTCAACCTCCGCCCTGTCATGTTAGAATGACCTGAGGCTTTGGAAATGCATATAGATTAACATCACAGAATATTTTGCATTTCATGGCTACTTACCCATGTGAAGCAACAATTGGAACATCCCCTTCAGCAACCTGTGTGTAAATTGCATCATCATATTAGGATGTGAAAGCTAAAAAATTCACATTACTCTCAAATATAAGTTTGCTGAGTGAAATGGCCTCATTACCCAAAACCACCAATCTCTCAATTTTCTACATAACACAGTTACCCAAGTATCACGAGTGAGTGCCATTCTTGTAACAGGAGGGATTGCCTATCAAAAGATTTGAGAACTGTTATTGGTAGAATAGCAGCAGTCTTGCAAATTTGACAATTGAAACAAGACAGTACCATTTTCTAACT